CCCACCCCGTGCCCGTGCCGCTCGAGCTGGCCTGCCCGTGGCCGCTGGGCGTCCTGCAGGGACTCGCTGGCGGGCGTCTGTGTGTGCGAGACCCGGCGTCCGGCCTCTTGACCTCACGAGACCTGTTGCGCAGCTGTGGTTTAAAGCCGAAACGCGCCGCCCCTTCCCTCGACCAGCGAGGGGCCTGATGTCCCTGCTGCTGTGTCTCGGGAGACGCCCAGGGGCGGCTGGGCCGCGGAGCAGGAGGACACGTGTGCCCGCGACGTCCTCGCGCCCCGTTGCGGGCGTCACTGGCCAGCCGCGGCGCAGGGCGCTCCGGCACGGACGTCTCTAGCTCCGGGTCCCGTTGGCCTTTCGGACCTGCGTGTGCCTGCTTCCGTCGGTTCAGGAAAGCTCAGACCTCGGGCTGCCGTCCCGGTTTTCCTGCTTGCGGGGTGGGGTCTGGGCGGCCCTGCTGTGGAGGCCCTCTGCGGTCTCCCGTGCCTTTGGTCTGTGGCCTGCGTATTTTTCCTCTCTCTGTGCCCCCAGTCAGCCAGAAACTGACGGTTCTCAGGTTTTTTTTTTAAAGATTTACTTAAGGATGCACACAGAACCGGGGTGCAGGCCGAGGACCGGGAGCAGCGAGCGGCTTCCCCAGAGACAGCGCGGGGAGCGAGCAGGCAGATGGACGGAGCCCTCTGCTGAGGGGGCAGTGGGGAGCCAGGGGAGGTCTGCCGCGCCCTGGGGTCACTCCAGGGCGGGGACCGAACTCGCGCTGAAGCGGCTGGGGCAGCCTGCCGTGCTGCGCCGCCGGGAGCCTGTTCGCAGGCTTCACCCTGCTCGAGCCGGCGCCGGCCACTGGGCGATCACGCACACGGGCGGGCGCTCACGGGGCTCTTGGGACTGCGCAGCAGCGGCCAGCAGTGCCCACGCCGGGGCACGCCGAGTCCCGAGACCCCCTACGGCAGTCCCCCGTCTGCGGGCCGGGGGTTTGTGGTGGCCGAGCGTGGAAGAGGTCTCCTTGGAGAGAGCAGAGGCTTGCTAGTGCCCTGCGCGTCCGGGCGGGGCGCGGGCACTCAGCGGTGGACTCCGGAAGCTCCCTGCCCAGGGCTGCCGTCCTGGAAGCTCCGCCGGCCGGCGTTACCGTTGTTTACCGCTGGCGCTGCCAAGCTTGTTTTTACGGCCCAGAAATACTGAGTTTGCTGGCTGTGTTCCTCAGGCCGGGTGCTGCTTACCGCCGAGGCAGCCGGTGCGCCTTCCTGGTGTGTTTCCTGGTGTGCGTGCCCCCTGTAGACTGCCACACACGCTCAGGCGTTTGTGGGAGGGACTGGAGGCCTGAGGCAATGGTAGATTCCTCCAGGGAGGTTTCTGCACTTGCCTCTAGCGAGAGCCTTGGAGTTACAATCATGATCGTCGAATTCACGGTTTGAAGTTATTTTTAGTTATGCAAATGATAAAATTGTTAAACAACTGCCAGTTAACTCAACAAAAGACATTTTCATTTTTTTCAAGGTTTATTTATGCACACAAGAGCTGGGGTGCAGGCCAGAGAGGGGGGAGGTGTGTGAGCGGATTCCCCGGAGATAGAGCGGGAGCAGGAGAGACAGGCCCACTGAAACCCACTGCTGAGGGGAGCGGGGGGGGCTTCTGCGCCGTGGGGTCCCTGGCCAGGGGATCGGGCCCAGACCGCAGTGGCTGCTGATAGTTCCACAGTTCTGAGACGCACCCCGGCACCCCAAGGAGGGCCCCCATTTTTAGTTTATGAAGAAAATGACCAAGTATTGCTGGGAAGGGAAGAATCTGTACAAGGGGGGTGGTGCGTTGGTGGCAGGGCTTGGCCTTTGGGTGTCAGGGTCTCCCCTGTCCCTCAGCAACGCGACAGTGCACGTAGGCTCCCAGGGGTGAAGTGGGGTTTGATTGGGGTTCACCGCCCCCCCACGTAGAGCCCTGCTTTCGTAGGGAGCGCTTCCCACGTTGGGCCCCGACTTCTGGCGTTGGGGACTCAGGGCCCGATCGCGGCCTCTGGATGAACGCGGCTTCGGCATCCGGCTCCCCTGGCCGGGCGGGGTAAGTGCCCCCTCGCCCAGCCGTGGAGCAGAGCCGCGGCCGCAGACCTCCCCGCGAAGGGCCAGGCGTCCAGGCTGGGCCGGAAGCCATCCCAGCTCGCGGCCAAGTGCTTCGGCAAAGCCTTTACTTTCGAGAACAGGCTGCGGCCGACTCCGCCCAGCCGGCGTGCCAGCGCCAGCCCGACGGAGCCGCCGTGGGGGAGGCCGGGCCTGGCGGTCTCGACTGGCGCTCGCTCGGCCCGGCGGCCTGGGAGTGCTTCTGTGGCGTGGTCTGCGCTTCAGCCAGGACCTCGTGTCCTCAGGTTGATTTCAGAGAACGGCGTGTTCACGCGTGTGGCCCTCGGCACAGAGCGCGGCTTCCCGCCCCCCGTGGCGCGCCCCTCGCCGGCGCTTTGGCGTTGCGTGCGGCTGCTCCCAGTGCCTCGGCGCCGTGGCCGCGGGCACCCCGGCCGAGCACGCGCTTCATTCCCGTGGGGGTTACCTTCTGCTCGACCCTCCTGAGCGCCCGTGGCCGCCCCGCCCGAGCCTTGGCCCGGGGCTGTGCGTCTGCGTGTGGCGCAGCCAGGGCCTCTCCCGCTCCCCGCTGGGGACGCCCCGCGCGGCGCAACCAGAGCGTCTCTCTGCCTCTGTTCCTCTAGGCTCGCCTCGGCACGTGTCCTGCGGGGACGGAGCTGGCCAAGCCCGAGGACACGCCGGTGCCGGGGGACGACGCGGCGGGGCTGCCTGTGAGGCGCCGCCGCTCTCCGCGTGGCTGGGCCTCGCCCGGCGCTGTACGGCAGGTGTGTTTCCACAGCAGCGCTTGGCTTCCTTTTTTTTTTTTCTTTAAAGATCTATCTATTCATTCATTCACACACATACATACAGAACCGGGGTGCAGGGCGGTGAGAGGACTCCCCAGAGACAGGGTGGGGGCGGAACAGGCACATGGACGAAGTCCACTGCCGAGGGGCCAGGGGGAGACAGGAGGGGTCTGCGGCCTTGGAGGCCACTCTGGGGCGGGATCAGACTTGCCCTGAAGCAGCTGCGGCAGCCTGCAGCCCTCCGGGCCCCGGGCCGGCCGGGGCCTTGTTCAGCACCAGAGCAAGCCGGCCGTTCTGCTGTTGGAGTGACAGGCCCCAGCTAGCCGGCGGAGCTCTTTCACACGTGACCAGCTGTAGATACCGAAACGAGCCATCGAGCCGGAGAACTCGCGGGCGCAGCCGCGCACGGCCTGACGCCGCCCTCGCTCCGCCTTCCAGGACATGGCCGCGCTCCCGCAGAACAACCTGCAGGCGCAGCTGGCGCGGCACTCGGCCCAGAAGCTGCGCGACGGCCCGAGCCTCGGGAAGCCGAGGCCTGTGTGAGTACCCTGCCCGCGCCTCCCCGTCGGCCCACAGCCTGGCTCAGTGACCCGTCCAGGGCGCGAACAGCGGGCAAGTAGGGCGAACCTGGGCAAGTCGGTACTTTCAGGAGGCCGAGGCACTTGCGTCCCCCCCAGAAACTAGTGCGGGACATTCAGAATTCTCCCGGCCCGCCCTCCCGGCTCGGCTCCAGAGCCCGCCCAGCGACGCCCAGCCGTGCCGACCCCTGCCCTGCGCGGGCGGCTGCGGTCCGTTTCCCGGGGCAGCTGGCCCCCGAGCAGCTAGCGGGCGCCGCCTCAGTCTCTTCTCCTTTCGGTCACGCGCTCCGCGCCTCGAGGGGCTGTCCAGCAGAGACACCGGCCTGGGCCCCAAAGCAGGCGTCGGCCTGGCTCTTCTCAGAGCGTGGCTGACCTCCGAGCGCGAGGACCGTGGCCCGCGGTGTGTGCGTAGGTTAGCCTGGAAATGGAACGTTAGCTGGGAGGTAGTCTTGGCTCATTTGTGAAGCACGGAAGTAAGTTGTTACAGGAATCTGTCAAACAGTTTAGAGTTTTGTGTAAGTTGGTGGGTTTGGTAAGCATCTAATTGCAGTTCTTTTTCAGAGGTTTCACTTTTAAAAAGAAAATCGCTTCAGCCAAGGATGCCTCTGTACCAAAAACACCTGTGCTAAGTGATAAAGACGTCAACGTGACGCAGGCCTCTCCCTTCAGCAAGCCTTCACCCCTCACCACGAAGCAGCGGACCGTCAGCGACTTCACAGATGCCCCGGCGGGGCGGCAGGCCTCGAGCGCCACCCCGCCGCCTTTCCCGCTGGGGCGATGGCAGGCGCCCTGGGGGGGTTCACGGGCCGCCCAGAAGGCGCCGGCCACGGGAGAGCCCCACAGCTCAGCGCTCAAGAGATTAGAGTTTAGCTCTTCATCAGATTCTTTGATCGCCACCGAGGACTGGGATGACATGGACGACTTTGACACCTCCGGAAATTCAAAAGCCTTTGTCACGCCCCGCAGAAACGCCTTTGTCAGAGTCAGCACCGCCCAGAAACCCAGAAGGCCTAAGAGAAGCTGCCCCGGAGCCCAGCTTCAGAAAGCGGCTGTGGTCAAGGCTGCCGCAGCGCCTCCGTCCTCCGCGAGCCGGCAGGAGGGCGACTGGGGGGGGCGGGGGGGGCCCGTCATCTGCATCGACGACGCTCCCAGCCCCC